TTGGGGGGGGGGGGATGGAGGAACACCACCACGCCAATGAGAAAGCGAAAAATATTTTAAAAGGGCCCTTGACTCCGAGGTGTCAAGTTGCAGAGACAGACTTTTCGGTTCTGCGGCGGTGAGGGGACTGCTGGACCAACCTCGTCGGCAGCAAACACGTCACCTTACAAGTTATAAACCCCGCGTCAGGACCGTGCCAAAGTCCCGTCCTTTTCGTTGCGGCTTCGTGGGGATGTAGGGGGGTGAACTCATGGTCGTGCATGCCGTAGTCGTTAGACGACCTCGCATCCCTACAAAGCCGGGACGTAGCACGCCGGGTTCTCACCGGACCAGAGGCTCTCAAATCACCAAGCGCGAAGCGCCGTGAGGGGGGGGCGGGGGGCTTCCTACTTCCTGTGCCTCGAATCCCTGGACGTGACGCAACAACAGAGATACACCAGTCGGGGTGGAAACACAGACCGGCTTACTTCATCTACTGGAGCAAAAAGCGTAGCTCCGATAACCCGTGAACTATTTACCCCGGCCTCCCGGGGTTCCTTGGAAACCCTAAGCAGGTTTGACCAACCGAACCTTCGTCGGTCTCCACGATATGGGGGAAGAGGAACATATGTAGATCATGGGATGCTCGGGCGGAGACTCTCTAGCTCTGAGTCAGCGACCAGGGTGAAGGGCCGGCACTTCCAGTTCCAGCCGCCGAACTTGACTGTCACGCTCCCACCATCGGACAGGAGAGCTTCGACCTGCCTCCGCTTCTCTCTTTTGCAAAAAAAGAGACAGACAGACAGACAGACAGACAGACAGACAGACAGACAGACAGACAGAGACGGGAGGGGGAGGGAGAGAGATAGGCGGGGAGAGTGTTAGGCAGGGTGTAGTAAACCACCGGTGGGAGTGGAGGAAAGGAGGACGAGGAGGAGGAGGACGAGGGGAGGGGAGGTTACAAACACAAGTGGCGGCAAAAGGTCGAAGGGGAAAACAATCTGGCTTTCGTCGGAGCCAGCAACCCCACGGTGGATCCCAGCATTCAGCCACATAACCCAAGAGATCCCGACCGATACACAACACTCTGATTTCTCCAGTTGGACAAACACGACACCGCTCTTGAATGAGAACGCGAACTCCGGGTTCGAGTGTATTCCGCGGCGTCCTCGGCGGCCCGTGCGGTGTGACGGATCGCCTTCGTGCGACTAATCAGTTTATTACGAGGAAATAGAACAGGATGGGGGACGCAGAGCCTATTCCCTAACCCTATGTACCCCAAACCCAACTTCCCCGATTGTATGCTTTATCCAGCATGTTTGCTTAAGGCAAAAAAAAACTGCGAAGGCTACTGGGTGCGACAGCTCAGCACCACGGGGCCCCCACGGTTTTGTTCGGCGCTGTGTACTTGTAGCGTTAGGGATTGCGACGCGTGTACGGCTGGCGCATGTCCACGAGCAAGGCAACGAGAGAGCGTTCTCCGGTTTGTGGGGCAGGACGAGGGCGGAGGTCATGGGCCGCGAAGTTTGCACCTATAAATACCTTAGCGCGTACGTGTGTCTCTACGCGTCCACCCACCCGGTGAGGTAGCGCTTGACGTGCAACAGGCAGCCGAGCGACGGTGACGTCGACGATGATGACGATCCTGCAGCAGCAGCCGCGTCAGAAGCAGGGGCGCTACTGGGGTCCTCGTCCTTGTTGTTGAAGTCATCGCAGTACCAATAGACTATCTTGGGCAGCACCACGGTCCGCTTTCCGACTAGCACCTGCGGTACCGCACGCCGGTGTGACAGATCGCGCGCAGCACCGAGATGAGCAAGCAGACTATTGGGGTCCGCCGAGTACATGGTGCCATCAGGAGCGGCACAAACCCCAAGATACAGACACCAAAGCCGGGAGAGTCTGCGGGTGAAAGACAGGCCGCATTGCCGCGACCTGGTGAAAAAATGTTTGGAAAGGTCGCAAGTCAAGTTGTTTCAACGGTAAGCAGTCATCCGGAGAAATCGGTGTTATCGTCATGTGTGCAAGCCTGCATTTTGCATGTCGCTTGCACCTGCAACTATACAAAACCGTTGGAAGCAGCAGCATAGAAAAAGGAGCAAGAACAAACCATCAACTGGGCGAAGAAGCAAACAGAAAATAAGCTCATTTTCCTGGCCGAGAGCGTCAACGCACACGGCAAGTGTGCGAGCGTCGACGGGGAAGATGACGCAAACCAAAAGGATGGATTTCCCGAAGACCCTCCCGCCCTCCGTCCCACCAGATATAACTGCGGTCTCTCCTACACACTCTTCCCGCACCTCAGTGGTAGTCTGGACGTAGTACGCGGAGGCGTCTTCGAGCTGCTGGTGAACATCCCCGGGCCTGTCGTCGCCGTCCGGACGATAGCAGCAGCAGCAGCAGCAGCAGCAGCAGCAGCAGCAGCAGCAACCAAACACACATCAACAACAGCGACCAATCACACACACACCTAGTCCAACACACGCAACGAGATGGACGGGCGTACTCGCGGTTATTCCATAGCACGTCTTCTCGGACGCGAGGAAAATATGCCTACAACGTCTGCGCACCGGAGTGATATTTGACAAGCTTGACGCTCGCGTCATAATCGGTTCTGAACTCGGTGCGCCAGCAGCATGGGACATCATACATGCAAGTGGTGCGTACGACTTCACGCCACAAGCTTCTACAACCCCATGTTCAACATCCGAATTTTACGTAGGACAAGCGCGAAAGCAGGCTGCGGAGGAGAGACTAATGTGGCGACGCTTTGTCGTGGGCGGTGTCGTTGGCCCAACCGCACAACAGCAAACAGCGCCTTCCTCACCTGTAGATTAGGATTCCCGGCACCCCGCTCACACTCCCGCAGTTGAGAGCAAAGCTGACCCGTGGTTCCGCCCGTCTTAGGCAGAAGGGGTACTCCGTTGTCGGAATGATCAGCTTCGACAGGAACTGTCGCAGTTTGACGAAGTGAATCGAGGGGGAGGCGACAGGGAAAGATTCCATGACATGGCACTCGGAATGGGTCAAAACAGGTGGACCATACGTGCTATAATATCTGTCGCCAGAATGATAATCAAAAAATGTTATCAGTCATGAAACAACATCCTTCACATTTCATCCATCGATGTTCCCAGGGCCCCGGCCTGTCGACCGTGGATGACGCTGCCCGTCGTCCAGGGATCTTCGGTCGTGCCTGTTGTTTGAAATTCCGCCGCAGTTTTCTTTTTTTTACCAATCAGCGAACTGCGTGCCACAAATGTTGAACAACAACAACGACAACTTCACATTTTCTCGTGTACACGGACCTGGTTCGGCTGGCTCGTCTTGGCCCTCATGACACAGTGCTCCAGATCAGCCATTGACATCACGTCGCCCCCGACCTCGTAGCACAGGGTCGTGAAGTAGCTTGCCACTCTGCTCACGCGTACAACCGTGGGGACGGGGGGCGGGGGACGTACTCATGTTTGCCATGCCTTAGTTGCTGGACCCATTGACCACGCGTCTTGACCACGCGTCCTCGAGAGGACGGAGGGGACCCAAGAGCACACCACCAGAGCCACTGGTAAGGTCGGGAAACAACACCCTCCCCCCCCCCCTGCCTGATGTTTGCAGATGAATTTTTGGGGGTATCCGAAACACCAGAAGGGTTGCAAGAACAGATAGATACGGCGGTAGGATACACCCGAAAATGGAGACTGTCGGCGAACGTAGGAAAATGCGCAGAAGTGGTCTGTAACGAAGACAAGAAAAATCCCGTAGAATTCAAATGGAAATGGGGGGAGGAAGAACTACCGGTAGTAGACAAGTATACGGAGATTTCGAAGGAGTGCTCATGGGACGCACACATAGCGAAGTTGATTGGGAAGGGTAAAGCTCAGATAGGCAAGATGGACGAGATCCTTACGGACCCACACCTAGACACTAGGATTAAGAGGTGTATTCTCTTGAATGTGATTGTACCTAAGCTAGAGTATGCAGGAGAAGTATGGGAAGGTAACGAAAAGGCCGTCAAGCAGCTGGAAACGGTGCAGATGGCAGCGGCCAAGAAAATATTAGGATGTTCAAGTACAACGAGCAACACTGTATTGAGAGCAGAATTGGGAATGTACTATCTTAAAACAAAGAGAGACATGCAGAAGTTGAATTGGCAGTACAAGGTAAGTAGAATGTCGGACGATAGACTACCAGCCATGGTTGACAACGCAGCTTGGGGAAAAGCGACTCCAGGAAAGAAGGGAATCAGATGGGACAAGGTGGTAGAGAAGGTTTGGAAGGAGATAGGAGACGAGGAGGAGACGTTGGACACGGAAGGGTTCGGGGGGTTCAAGACGAAAGTCAAGGAGATGCTAGAAAGTAGGGAGGAGGCAACCCTTCGGAAGAAGGTACGAAGCGAAGACCACTTGGAGATATACGGGACGTTGAAAGAAGGGATAGGGATGAAGACGTACTTGGACGGCCCCATGGACTATGCGAAACAGCTGAAATTGCAATTTCGAGTAGGCGATCTGGACTTGCCAGAACGGAGGAAGAGGTATACCAGCCGTAGGAGAGAGGAAGAGGAGGATAGACACACATGTCCATGTGGCAAATCGGAGGAGAGTAGACCCCACATAGTTGGGGAGTGTGAGTTGTACAAGAAGGAAAGAGAGGATCTCGAGGAGGAAATGAGACAGAGAGGGTGTGACATGGACAAGTTTGGTAAATTAGACAACAGCGAAAAAACGATCGCGATAATTGGGGATAGATGGTGGGCACAAGAGGCCCTAGAGGACGGGGATAAGATGTGCAAGAAATTTTTATGGAGTTTGTGGCAGAAACGTAAAGAGCTCCCAAATGTTGGTGGTGTCTCGAGTAGGTGTAGGAACGGTGCTCCGTCTCGAAAGGGACGCGTGGTCAATGGTCAAATGACTACGGCAAGCAACAAATGAGTACGCCCCCCCCCCTGCCAAAAACAACAGCAGGCCAGGCCTTGTACGGTTAGGATCAGACTAAGCAATCAACCCCCCCCCCAACACTGCTGCCATCGTCACGGTGCGTGCTTGGAGCGACGTCGAGATAAGGCTTGTGGTTCTTGGAGGCGAGCAGAGCCTGCCCGCCAACCCGCGGGCGACACCGCCAGCCACTCGGGGAAGGAGCATACAGCAAGAGAGGGAGGTCAGAGGACATCGTGGGGGCAGAGAAAGGGCCAGTCGTAGCTTGCCACCATTGACGGGGGGAGGGTGTACGCATAGTCGTCCATCATGTATTCGTTAGGTGTGTTGACCTCGCGTCCCTACAAAAGCCGGGACGGAGCGCGCCGGGTTCTCACCGGACCAGGCTCTCACGTCACCAAGCGCGAAGCGAGGGTGGGGCGGGGACACCACAGCGCCGATGCCACGGCGGCACGCGACACAGGCCCATCCAACTAGCCTAAGCCGTCTGTCTGTACCCTCATGTTCATTGACGTCTGCAAAAAATGTAGGCTCATCGAGCACTTCCCGAGACAGTGCAGACTATCGCGCCGCCTTGGGGCAGGAAAACCCCAGCAACTAATACACCATACCGCGGGTGCCGCGACATCGAGCTGCAATAATGTGCCATGGCCAAAACCCATAATGGCGCTACCCCACCATACCGATCATAGTACAGCAGTAGCAACCATTATTGTGGCCCATAAGCAGCAACCCGGCATCCCGAGACAAGTACTGCGGTAGTGCAGTAGCATATGTACCTCAACGGGCTTCCCGGAGGGCCCAGAATGAAGAAGGCGTGCAGCAGCATGACGTGGTACAGGTTCAGGAAAACCGCCAGCTGCTCGCTGTGGGACAGCCCTTCCAGGGGCATCCACCTGTGAGATAGGACCCGCCACCCACCCACAACCCCCACAGAACCCCCATCCAATCACGAGGATGGAATCACACACAATCGACGAGCGTTGCAGAACACACGAAAAAAGTTGGTGCCGTAAGTGTTTCGCGCGAAAGCCGGACTTCACCGCACCGTTGGGCGAAAAACAAACAAGGGACCGCAACTCGACCCCACCCCCCTCGCAAAGATACAGATAGCATGCTACATCTTCCTCGTGCCGAGACACTTTCTGTCTCTGTGCGTACATACATACGACTTTTTAACCGTTCACGCAGAGACGCGAGGGCACAAGAAAAAGCCAGTCGAGCATGATGCTCGAAACAGCAAAAACAAAAAAAAACGCGAAGCCGAAAAATAACATGTAAAAGAGCACGAGACCGAAAAAAAAAAAGAAAAACACGAAACCGCATAATAAGACAAAATAAAAAACACGAAACCGACAAAAAAAAATAAAGAACGATTGTTACGTGTAAGGAACGGCCACACCTCTGACGGTCGCACTCGACTATTTAGTCGTATATACCCGTGTACGTACGCACCTCAGCCTGCAGATGTCGTCGAGGAAGTTGATCAGCTGCTCCGTCTTGCTATCGTCATTCAGGTCCAAAGCCTGACCAGACACACACACGAACATCCTCGCATTCAGCGCATTGCCCATTTTGTTCGAATCTTGGCGCCCTGATATCACCTTCCCGCTGGCACCGATGTCATTTCATTGGTCAACCGGTTTGCGCGATAGATGCCAAAAGAGCCAAACACACGCCTACCTGTCTCAGCAACCCCGACACGAAGTCGCAGACTTGTCCCCCCACCCCCCCCTGGTCCATCCAGCACCCCCCACCCCACCCCACGTCAGCAGAGCGCCCCACCCCGCCGCCGCCGCCACCGCCGCCACCAAAGGCTGCCCCGTTGAGCTCGAGGAGACGGCGGCAGTTGAGCACCCAGAAGTTGGTGGCCTTCCAGGAAGACTTCTTGGTCATGTACTGGCTGAACGGGTCGCTGATGCTCAGGTCGTCCTGGGGGGATGCTGAGGCTCTGCCGCCGTCTGCTTGCTGCTGGCCTAGCTGGCTCTGGATGTCGACGGCCCAGTCTCGGGCCTCTTGGAGGCCCTCCACCAGCATGTAGTGGACACGGCCTATCGTGTGGATCTCTACTAGGTGCATACCTGGGGTTTACAACGGGCAGGGTGGCATGAGAGTGACAGACAGACAGGCAGACAGACAGACAGACAGACAGACAGACAGACAGACAGACAGACAGACAGACAGACAGACAGACAGACAGACAGACAGACAGACAGACAGACAGACAGACAGGACGGACAGGACGGACAGAGAGGACAGACACCCAGACAGACAGATAAGGCATAGAGAGAGAAGGTGGTAACAAGAAACAACACCCCACAAGGGTGGAACCCACTCACACAGACAATAGCCAATAGACCCCCAACCAACGTAGCACGATGCAGCGCTGAAAGCTCTCACCGGGTTACCATCGGAAAAAAAAAAAAAGTCACCCACACGTCGTACCAACGCGGACGAGATGCTACCCTCCACCCGCTACCCAAAACATCTGGAATAGCCACGGAGCCTCCCTCCCCCCAACGTGACTTGCAGACCGGTGCCGCGCCTCTTCGAACAACTCTGACGCGAATCTACACAGTACTATACCTGGAATGAGCTGCGACGAGTGGGGTGGGGGGGTGGACCCGCTCCCATCCACGGGGCCGCCCCCAAGCTCCACGGCCATGATGTCCCGGGTCAGCAGGCGCAGGCACTGCTTTCGAGGGCGGGAGAAGGTTAGCGAGGACGGAAGCAGCACCGCTACCTGCTGCGACAGGTGGTGCTCCGACAAGACTCGCAGGACCATGCCTTCCTTGATCGCCAACGACGATCTGTGGGACAACAAAGGAGAGCCAACGAAAAATGGGGGGGGGGGGTCTGCTTCACGGAAAACGACCACCAATACCAATGCAATCGTAAGAGTACCAAGCTTGCGGCTTTCATTTGTTGGTGACGAGGCGCATGTGCCGCACCATGACGAAAGTAAAGAAGCAGCGAGGTAACGCAAGAGAGTGCCGTTGGCGATGGCTTCGAGACAACAAGTATGTAGCTCGCGACAGCGGTCTGGTTGAACCAGAAAAAAATCAGGATTACTCGACAAAAGCTAGTCGACAAACCAGACCCAACTCGGAAAACTTATTCAAGACCAATCAGGCTGCCCTCTATGTTCTTTCTCCCTCTTTTCGATAAACAACGGCCTGGAAGGAAAATCAGGTTAAATTCTCAAAAAGACTAGTAAGACGAGTCAGGCCAGAGTCGGCAAAACAAAAATACAAGACGAATCAGACTTTTCTATCTCTCTCTCCCTTTCTTTCTCTCGTTCTCTCTCCCCCTTTTCCTCACCCCTATGACCCAACAACTACTGCCTGCACGGTCATGAGTACCCCCGACCTCTCTCTCCCTTCAACCAACTCGCCTGGTGGTCCAAGAGCGGCGTCGACTGGCCCCGCCGCCCCTACCAGCGGCGTTCGAAGAAGACCCTTCGCTCTGGCTCCCCCCTCCCGACTTGACGCTCGACTGCGGAGGAGAGTAGAGAGGGGGTGACGCCGGCTGCCCCTTGCCACCCACCGCCCAGGAGGCCGACGCGTCCGGCGACCTCGCCCGTTCCTCGGACTTCCCGGATGTTCCCATTGCGTTAGCATCGCCCACTCCGATTGGAAACCCGGGGGGGGAAGCAGCCCCGCCGTCGGCGCTGGAGGCTGCCGGTGCGGTGGCGGTGGCGGCGGCGACCGGGTTGTAGGAGCGGTAGGCTCTGTCTGCGGAGCTCTCCATCCCGAGCACCGCACGAACGACGACCTGCTTGATGTTGACGTTGGAACAAAACTGTCGCTGTTATTGCTTTTGCTTGTGGTACAGCGTGTTCTGGCGTTGCTTTGGTTTTCGTTGGCATGTCGTGGGAGTCAGGAGTCAGCTGCTTGTTAGCGATGCCGTTGTTGATGGCCATGGGTCATGATGTAAGGTGGGGGGAGGGGGGGCAGTTCGGGCACCATGAAAATACAAGGAGGCGTTTCATTTTCGTGCCCCAGCGAGACAGACGTTAAACACATATATTGAAAAATGGAAGACTGCAGACGCGGAAAAGTCTGTTTCCTGCTCGCGAAACACGATGTCGTCAGGTAACGTGATCCGACCAAATTCATCAAGAGGTGGGAAAACATTCTGCGCTTCTGAATTCAAGGATTGCTTTCATTCATGCATACCAGTACATGAAAAACGACCCCAAGGGACAAAAAAGAGATAACAATTTTGCGTTCAATTTTGTTTCCCTTCCAAAGCCAGCCAAAACGAACGAGCCTTGCCGGAAGGAAGGAGCAAAGAGGGGGGGGGGGGGTGTCATAGTAGAGAGTCAGCGTATAGCACGAACACGCAGGTGGACAGACAGACAGACAGACAGACAGACAGACAGACAGACAGACAGACTGACATGAAGGCAGGCAAGACAACACAGACAAGACAACACAGACAGGACAACACAGAGGTACGAGAATGCACAAGCAACAGGCAACAATCACGGCGCAAGGGCTATTCCTTGCAGACACGATCGTGTCATGGCTTCTTCTTCTCTCGCCAGGAAACGTGCCTGGTGGGCCCTGTTGGCGTGGGCACGTGACGGGGCAGTCAGGAGCTGCAGCACGGCGTCCATCTTCCTCCGCTTCACCTCTTGCCGGGACAGCCGCGGAGAATACTCCATGCTCGTCGGGACCTGCGAGAGAAACACACCGCGGAGCAACGATAAAATCAAAGCCACAGAGAGGATGGCAGCTACGGGAAGATACGCCGCATATTGGCCGATGGTACGCACGGGCGAGGAGAGGCTGTGGTAACGTAGTTAGGAACGGACACGGAGCCCAACCCCCCCCCCCGACAATTTTACAAAAGTAGCACGTGCTGGAATGTAACGGGGGGCGTTTGCAGGGAACATGGTCCACAACAGCAACAAAAACAACATCATTAGTATCAGGAACAGCGACCACAAAACAAAACTCACTCACCACGCTTTTCGGGAGGATGGACAGGTTCTTGGAAGACCTCAGCGCAAACTCGCCGCCGCCACCGCCACCCTCCCCCCTCCTTACCACGCAGAAAACCGTCCACGTGCCCTTCAGCTTCGGGCTTCTCGCGTACAGGTCCACGTAGGCAGGACACCTGCCTCGCCAGGTGCAAAACAAGTCCCAAATGGATTAAGGTAAACGGCATCTTCTGCGACGATAACTTATATTCCCACGTTGAAAAAAAAAAAAAGAGCTGTTCTTCTTCTCCAACCTTTGAAGCTTCATGTTCTATTTTTCGAAGCGAAGGTTGTGCTTGTACAGAAGGAAATGTGTTTGCTTACGCATGGGCACGAAATAGAAGTAAATCACATCGCGAAAAATCCCTACTGGTGGTGGTGGGGGGGGGGGGCAGAGCTGCCGTGAGTCCGGCGAGGATAGGACATATTGAAGAACGACAACAGAAGAAAAAAAACGCTTCCTTGGGTGACCAGCCATCGAAACCGTCGACGAAACCGTCGATAGATCAAACACGCCAGCGGGTCTGCGCGCGCCCAGACTTGATAATAGCAAGTGGAAGACAGAGCGGGCGCTCCTTGGATCGCCCTCGTATAACAACAGCAGCCGGTGTACCGACGACAAACCACACAGAAAAAAAATCTCTCACCTGACCATGGCCTCCTCCGCATCCTCCTGCTGCCCTCCTGTCCCCCGAACTCCCCCGGCAGCGATCGCGCCCCCGTCCGCAGCACTACCACCGCTACCAGCAGCTCCCGTCCACGTGCTGCCCTTCCTGTGGTCCCCGACACGGTACCGGCTGTCCGCTCCCGCTGGCACGCTGGTAGCGTGCATCCCGCCGCCACCGCCGCCGGAGCGAGACCGCTCCTGCAGCTGTTTCGAGCCGTCGCGAAAGTTATCGCTCCAGGAAGCCTCAACACCGTCAGCAGGAGGCGAACGCGCCCCGGCGGCCGCACGGCTACCGCCGCCGCCGCCGCCTCTGACACCAAGAGCATTCTGCGCGGCTGCCGGGCCGGGCGCCGACCCCCGACCATTGTTGCTGCCGCCGCCGCCGCCGCTGCTACGGCTGCTGCGCGACAAATCGTCCTCGCTGTCGTCCTCGTCGCCGCTTCCGTCATCGTCGTCATCGCCGTCTTGGCGGAGAAACCCGGCCCCGTCACCACCGGCAGCAGCACCAGCACCAGCGCCAGCACCAGCGCCGGCCCCCTTGAGCTCCCTCCTCCTCTCGCGCCTGGCCCTGCGGTCCTCCATCTCGCCGTCTGAAGCGTCGTCGTTGCTGGCCCAGCGGGACGCCGACATCTGCCTCCCCCTCGGGCTCGGGTCCCTGTCCGTCAGCAGGGGGAGGGCGATCTCGTCCCCGATGTCCGCGTCGCCCCCGTCGGGGACGTCAATGACGGCGACAGTGCTCCCCGGCTCCCAGTCTGCTGATCCCGCCGCCTCCCCCTCCTCCTCCTCTTCTGCGCCGGCCTCTGCTTCGTCCCAGCCCCCCTCGTCGGCTGATTGCCCCAACTCGGATTGAGGCACGTGACGCACCTTTCTCGCCGGGGAGGGGCGACATTAATACAACGTTTCGAGGTTTTTTGTGGCATGGCGATAAAAATGCTGAGAGGGCTGGGTTTCTGTTGTTCGTTCGCGTGTCATTGTATCGGCTTCCTGGCGGGCTGGTTGCATGTGTAGCAGGGAATTCCATTGTTTCAAGGCGCTTGCTTGTGGCAAGGATATGGTACAAACTTCTAAGAACGTTGTGTGTGCTACATGTCGGCGTGGTGGTGCATTTTATCACGCCTCTCCCCGCTTCCGCCAGCGAGCTAGCGTTGTTTAGAAGAGCGAAGAAAGAGACACAGGGAGACACAGAGAGACACAAGAGCGAGAGAAGACAAAAGCAGAGCGTGCCCGCGAGAAATCTACCGAATAGTGTCACGAGGCGATCCCACGACGGCCCAAAACTTGCGAGCCACCTCCACAGTAGAGCAAACAACACAACGGGGCCGAACAGGACGCACAAAAGAAGCGGGAAAAAAACAAAAAAACTTGGGGCTCACCTGCACACAGAAGACGTACTCGAGCTCGGATTGCAGGTGAAGCTTGGAGGAGGCAGACGAAGACGACGGTTTCATCACGTACGCCGCGACCCTCAAGGCCGCGTTGCCCCAGAAGGTGTGTAGGTCGATGTCCCTCATCACGGGAATTTTGCAGGTAGACCACTTTCGCCGCAAGACAGGGTAGAGGAGCCGGTCGATTCACACAAAGGGGGCGAGATTGGAAACTGGCCTTAGTGAGATGCGAAAATAAACACTGTTAAAGCGCTACGCCTTGGCATAGGCCAGGTACATGGCGACAGGTGTTGAGTGGGCAGGCACAAGGCTTGGGAGGAGCACCAACACGCATTCCACGGAGTAAGGGAGAACACAAACGCAGGAAGCTGCCCACTTATCCTTGATACCTAAAACAGCTGGGTTGGGGTGATACGTTTGTGGGAAACGGTTCACTAGGCTAGTCGAGAGAATCGAAAGAATCTACTTCTACAGCAGTACTGCTTCGGTTTTCCAAAGGTACCCTCCTACCTTCTTGCCGAGAGGACACAGCCACCGCAAGAGGGGGCGACGCGGGCCAGACGAGACGCTGTTCCGTCCCACCCCCGGTTCTAAAACTACACTTGCACGCCGTAGGCTGAGAGGTAACCAATCAACACCGCGGAACCATGGAAACGATACCGGCGGTGCCGCATGTACCTACGAACAGCAGGTAATTTCTCGCCAGCGTGTCATTTTTTCTCTGCTTTTTGACCCGCCATTGAGCACGGGCACCGATCTCTTGGAAGCAGCTGGCGGCTAAGGGCGTGACGAAAACCAAAAACGCGAGGAAAACAAAAGTCTAAACAAGCAATGTCAACCAAACGCTTGCGAGTATGATTGATGGTACCTGCGCCATGTCGATGTACATGCTGTGGAAGCTGAAGCTGTACGTGCAGCCGGTCTGAAAGTCGCCGATCCCCAGTGCCTTGTCTTCTTCGCCACGCCTCCTGCTGGCCTTCCTGTCCTTGTCCTCCTCAAAGGACTTGCCCAGCGCGGGCACCTGATCGTGGACCGATACGGTGATGGTAGCGTGGTGATGGTGACAAAGAGCTTGAGGGAATGCTACCACCGTCCACAGCCAAGTGCCAAAGAGCCAGCTCAACAAGAGAAAAAACACACACACACACACACACACACACGTGAGCATGTCGTACAAGAGCCCACAGTAAAACCTCGGGTACTTTCACAGCAGTTTGCACAGAAGTTTCGGTAGGTGTCACTGAATCCACTCCACAAAAGTCGGGGGACGGGAATACCGCCGATACACGTCTGTACGTGACCTACATGCAGACCTTGCAAAACTCATTCACGCTGGGTCAAAGGTGAACTGAATAGAAGTGGTATGCACTAGCTCGTGGGGTTTGCGCAAGACAGACTGGCGCGTGTGTAAGGCGTGTGCAATTGTAGTCTCCACAGCAGCCCACCGAACCAACAACATTGCAGAGGTTCACGCTTTGTTCACGCAAACACACCCTCTATTCCACCCATCGTGATTCGACAAATCACCAATTCGGTGACTCGGACCCGAGAAGGAGAGAGATTGTTACCTTCCTCTGTCTTGCTCAGGCCTCCACATCAAGAGGCACCGCGGGTGCGATCTCACTACCTTGCTCGGGAATAGGGGGGGTCCGAAAAACGCGTGTGTAACGCTTCGCGGGTTTCCCGAACACTCGACGGATCACCCCTAAAATGAGTAGAGAAGCAGTGTGCTAATTACGAGAGTGCCAGCCTAACGGCTGACGCGCGAGCATCCACACACACCATCAGGCGCAACCATCCCCCGCAGCCGTGGTCCAACACGGCCGTGCGAGACAGCCTCATGACCCCACCCGCAACGAACCGGAGACCTCTCGAGCGGTCATGAACATGAGCAAAAAACGCCGTCCATGTATATATACCCTAGTAGGTTATTCCATAAGATACCACATCCCCTGGATCGATTTCCAAAGCTCGACTACCCCACGACGAAGAGGATGCTGATAATGTTTTCGTCACGCTCTCGACGAGACAGACAGGTCCAACGACGCCGTTTTCGGCACCGTCACCTATTTTCCTGCCGAGTGAAAATCGGGGCAGGGAGTGTGACATCTAATGCAACCTACGGTTGGCCAAACGGAACGGAGGGAGCCCTTGGCGTAAATCACGCATATATCGCGGGGCCCCTAAAGTCGCTGGTAGCGTGGCTGTCTCTGTGTTAGTGCGTTTCTCTTCTGTCTCTCTTCCTCTCCCTCTCTCTCTCTTGCCCCCTCTCTCTTCCTCTCTCTCTCTCTCCCTCTCTTTCTCCCATTTGCCTTTCTCATTCTCTCTCTCTCTCTTCCATTCATCTCTCTCTCTCTCTCTCTCTCTGTCCCCGTCTCTCTCTTCCTCACACACACAAACACACACACACACCTCTTGGCCTTCGGGAGTGCAGACGAGCGAGTCGACGGACGTGAGGAGGGGGAAAGAGATGTGCGGCAGCTCGGCGTTGTCGTTGTCCCCGAAGGAGTAGTGGAGGCGACGGTTCAGCTTCTGCCCGAACGACAGCAGCAGCTTGCACAGGCCCTGGTGGCGCATTCGATAGGGTGCAGGCGACGCAAGGAACGGGTGTGAATGGATTTGCCCACACAGATGGTCGCATACGAGGGTGGGGGGGCGTACTCGTGTCTTGCATGCCTTCGTTCTTGGGCATCATTGACCCCGAGTCCTCGAGAGGACGGAGCGTTGTTCCCACGGGGAGGGTGGGGGGTGGGCAGATCTTTCACGAGGAACCCTTGCCGAAGAGAACACTCCTGGCTACCATTAGTTTTTCATTATTTTTTCGGCAAGTTGTTCCTTGCCCGAGCCTGCACAGCGTACCATTCTTTTCTAAATATTGTTGTTGTCAGAGGTGCTTTGGGAGACAAACAGCGAAGCCGCCCGGTGCCGCCTCCGCCGATGGCAGGTTAGCAAAAAATGAGTTAAAAAAAGGATAGATACTTAGCCCTCACGCTGCGGCCAACGGAAGCCACCGGCGACAGGACGGCCGGTACTCACCGCAAACACAGCAGTCCACTCTGGCGAGACCCCTCTCGCTGCTCCCGAACCCAAAAAAAGGGATGGATAGCGCAACCGCCGAAAAAACAAAGAATCCCTTACAATACAACGCCCGGAAAAAAATACACACACTCACATAAAGGATGAGAGCTGCAAATCGCTCACTCGGCCATCGAGATAACAAAACATTTGTGCGGTCATGAAGTGCAACGATCTGCTGGCAATCTTGCTTGCTAACTGCGAGAGCCTGTCTAGTGTGGTGAAGCGCGCACTCACCCTGGTGAGGAGGCCGAGCTTCATCCTCTCGGTGATCTCGAGGCTGATGAACAGCTCCCCCTCCGGCGGCTTCTTAAACCTATTGGTCGTGCCGAGCCAGGAGGATTTGTTTTTTGGTGGTGGTTGAATATGAAGCACGTGAAGAACAAAGACGTTTACAGCAGCGGCGGTGGCGAACCCGGTTCGGCAACCCCTAGTTTCAGGAGGAATCTTAACGTGGTCGCCGTTATTAAGTCAGGGAAGGTCGTTTGCAGCGGCTGCTTAGTCGGGGTGCAACGGCGGTGCCACGCAATAACGTTGTCGCTATCCACGGTGTGTCGGTAAATAAGGGGAGTCGCTAACCCGGACCCCACCAGTGTGTGTAGTGTCTAGCCCTTACGCTGAACAGAAACGCAGTGCGGTCGGAGTCCCTCTATAGGGCGGGGTCCCTCTATAGGGCGGCGGGTGGCCAGTAAAAGCATAGGGCGATTGAAATATATTTAGTCTCTATACAAAAGAGAGCAATCAAACATTTTATGCTTTGATTCAGGGGGGGTTCCCCTATATAGGGTGATCTGTGTTGGGCGGGCGAAATCTCTTGCTCGGCATGCTTGGCACAGATGGAACAATCAAACGCTTTATGCTTTGAGTAGGACGGGCGGATCGGCCGGCACAGAAGCACCCGACACCCGACAGAGTAACCCCGACGGTACAGACGTGGTTTGCCGCAACACCTTTGTCGACGCACACAGATGCTTTTGGGGATGACAGCACCCGAAGGCGGTTACCAGTAGTCGTCGCTGCGTTGTCGTCGCTCGTTGCTGCCGCGCATGAAGATCTCCTCTCAAATAGAGGACCAGGACCTCGTCATGATTGGATGATGACCAGCTTCTGGTTCATCCTCGTGGAACGTAGCCTTGGCCGGCGAAAACTCGGCATATCGCTCCTCCGTCCCGGTATGGTAAGGACGCGAGGTCTATGGCCTAACGAACTACGTTATGCGTTTACATGAGTACCCCCCCCCCTCCCACTTGCAGCGGCGTGGCCCCCCTCACCTCCCTTGGACCTGCACCTCGAACATCCTGTTCTTTCCTTCGAACATGTGGGCGTAGCTCTTGTCCATCGGCTCTCTCCTGATCATGAGCAGAGCCGCACCTTCGCCGCAAGAGCAAGGAGGGGGATACACATTTACAGCGACAAGGTCTGCGTTGAGGAAACCTCGCGTGAGTCGGGGGTTTCCAATCGGGGGGGACGGGTGAGGGGAGGATCTTGTCCCCCAATGAAGGATAGCAATTATCTTCGATGAAAAATACGAACTGTTTTATCACAGAGCTCAAGGAGAGCAACACACCCCCTTGGCTCAGCAGACAGCAACATGTGCTAATATTTTGATTTATCGTCAAACACGAGCTACAAAAACGAGGCGGGCATAAACAGGTGCGCACATGTCGTATTCCATGGCATGGCGGAACCCAATTCGGACTATCTAGCTCGAGAGCACAACCGTGGACGACGAACGACATGCTGCTACTGTAGTCTAGCAGCGACGGTTTTGGCGGCAACGTTGTTTTCAACTGTTGAATCTTAAATGGTTGCCGTCCCTCGCAAAGCCAAAGTGAACAATGGTCGGTTCTGTGCCCGGCGGTTGATCGTGGAATGCTCGTGCGATTTTCTAGCTGAACATTCCAAGCGCTCTCGCATCTCACCGGATACAGCACAAATTTCAACTGGATTCAACTATTTAGTTAGTTGCAGCCCGGGTGATGTGCAAGAGGGGGGGGGGGGCGGGGGGATGCTCAGATGACTTCACTACAGCAGCAGTAGCATAGCTTGCTACGACTGTCGAAAAACGGCATCACCCGGGTCGTTGGTCTGCCAGGGGTGGGGAGGACAAGGGGGCATGGTGTCTTGCGTCAAATACGGCAGTTTTGGCACACACCTTCGAAGTGGTCGTTGTCGATAGGGATAGGCGCGATGCTGTTAGGCGCGGCTTTCAGCGGCCCGGCCTTGTTCCCCAGCATGGACGCCGACAGCTGACGAAACGGCCGCAGTGGTCTAGGCCCCGCCCCCGTCCCCCGTGTTGGCTTCATCTAGCATACGGATATATATATATATACATCGTTTTTCGTCGCGTGAAGAAAGTTGTTGGGCGGGGTAAGGGGGAGAGTGCGGAGGAATTGTAGGATTATCGAAGCACTTGCCGAGATGCAAAAAAACGCACGGTTCCTTCTCTACGAAATACAGGTCCGATTGAGACAACCTCACAGCACACGCCATAGAAAAACAACCCCATGGTCCACCACATGGAATAACTAAAACAAATGCTGGGGGGTTATCGGATCTGCTTGCTGAATGGACACTCTTTGGGGTAAAAAACAACACCACAGTCTTTTCACCCACCTCTTGTACACCCTGGCGGCTCTCTGGTTGCTCCTCGGCAGCGTTGGGTCTCTCTATCCCCCCGCTCGCAGAAGACCGTTCCGAAGCGCCGGTCGGGACACGTTCTTTCTCGCTCTCCCCTTCTGCCACCGCCGCACCTGATTCTGCGGCGCCCCCGTTGGCTACCGCTCTTGTCGGCGCCGATCCCGACTCCTCCTCCGCCGCCGCCGTCGCCCTCTCGCCGTTTCGCCAGTCTCTCGCGCCCCCCCCTTCTTCCTCCGTCGCATGTCGCCCTCGCAGGTTAACCCTGGAGCCGGATTCGAGGTTGCGGCGACCACAGCTGCCGCTGCCGCCGCGCATGATATCATCATCATCGGCAGCACAGGCCGCCTCTGCGCCGGCCTCGCCACCCCCGCCTCTCAGGAGGTCGTCCTCAGAAAACCAGCCGCCGCCGCCGCCGCCGCCGCCGCTGCTACTGCCGTTGTACGCGGCGGCGTAACCGGTGCCGTTTCCGTATTGGTCCGCATCATCGGTCCTGCTCGTCTCCGCGAGGTCGACGCCCGCTGAGTCGTCATCGTCGTCGTCGTCTTCCAGGACGGAGGCGCAGGAGAAAAACCTCTGGCTTCGCGATTTCCGGCCCAACGAAGCAAGTCCCGCCAGCAAGGGGGGTGGCGCGAAGTCGTCACTAGGGGCTGCTGCTGCTGCTGCTGCTTCCACCGCTGCAGCTTCTTCGCCCAGCGGTGGGGACTTGCGGGCGACGGAAGCGTGTCGCGATTGCGATGACGACGACGATCCCTCGCAGCCGCCGCCCCCCCCTCCGATCGCATCACCGCCGTCGACGTCTTCCGTACCGGGCCTCCGAGCCCTACGCCCCTCGTCCTTCCGGCCCGCTAGCAAACGCTCGTCGATCAGCACAACCCGCACCGCGCCGCCGCCTCTCTCCCCATTAAAAAACGGCCCTTCCAGCCAGGCCATTCCGGACTCGGAACCGTTGTTCTCGGCCGGGTCCGGGTTTCGCCCGGCGGCGCTCGGTTCCGTTCGTGCTCTTTCCGTCGCGCCGTCTCCGCCGGCTGTGGCGGAGGAATTCGCCTCCGAAATGCGGCGGGATTGTTGTCGACGACCGAGGGGTGGGGTTTCCACCGGGAGAGGCATCCGGTAGGAGCACAGGAGGCGCGCCCCTGCGGACAAAACATCCGAGACAATTCAGTTTTCTGTGAGTATGAAGCACTATGTATTCAATAAGGTAATCGCCTTGCAAAGAAAGGGGGGGGAAAGGGGGTGGCTGGCTCTTCCATGGTGTGATTTTGTGCGTGTTCGTTCCCCCTGTGCTTGGAAGCGGAACGCTCATTCTGAGGCTCGAAAACCTTCAGAGCGACCGAATATTTACAAAAGCTTTCCGGTACCAGTCGGGGCACACAACGTAACCCAACCACATACGTATGTACCACACACCCATGGGTGAACAATAACACTGGTACTAGTTGAGGCGGACCATTAAACAAGTAGCAACTTTGTATTGGCGTTCGACGCGCAACGGCCACGCCATATATTGAGGTGGGTTCCTCGGAGTAAACGTAATTCATGTCAAGGCGGGGGTGCGTCAAAAAAAAGGGTGACGGCCGACACAAGCGTGGAGAGGCCAACGACGCGGAGAGGTTTAGTTACATCACTCCCATAAATCCCGCAACAGATCTAGAAGAAAAACGCCACAAAAATGGAGATCGACTCACAAACCGTTACCGGATGAAAAGTTACTGGTGGTTCCCGCGGAACCAAGGCCATCCATTCCATCCACACCGGTACTTATAATAGCGCACCTGCCCGAACGGCTGAGCAAGCCGTGTGGCGAACGCTGCCTGTCGCCAGGGTGAGGGTGGGGGTCTCCATACCCCCCGGCAGGTCCACCGATTTCGGAACGACCAGGACCTGAACAGACCCAGCCTTGTTCTTGGGGAGGGGGGGGGGGGAGAGACAGAGACAGAGAGGGACAGAGAGTAAGATAGAGAGGCAGATAGACAGAAAGATAAGAGAGATGGGAGGGAGAAAGGGGGGGGGGGGGGGAGACAGAGAGAGAGACAGAGAGAGTGAATGAGAGAGACAAGAAGAAGAAGAAGAAGTTCTCGGAGTCCTTCGCAAGGCTCTGCCAAAAAAAATGTGTCGGGTGAGCTACCTGCAAAATATTATTGGGAGGAGACATGTGCTCGGAAACGAAGCACCCTCCCAAGTGCGGCGCAAGTACGACGTTGGGACAACAACAACAACACCACCACACGGCCATGCAAGAGAACTGCGAGAAGGGAGTGGGACAACCACAACTCTCACCTCCAGCATCGCGAAGCTGTCCTCTCCCAGATCGCCGCCGGCCCCGAAAGAGTCCACCACTTTAAGATCGAAGGCCTGAGTCGATCCAACAGCGGGGAAGTTGGAAAAAGGAAAAGACAACCAACAACAGCGAGCGGTCAACACGTATCGAGCAGGGGGGCTCGCAAAGGTTGGAGGGACGACCATTCCTCAGGGCAGTACTTCCGAAATTTCAAAGTCCATAGCCACGACAGTTTTCCGCGCAAACATCTTTCGTGTTGGACTTGTCTCCTGGAGCTGCAAGTCTGCAACACACCCGACGGAAAAGCTCGGTATGTATGCCCACATCGAACGCCAAAAAAAACTATATCGGCGTATATGTGCAGCCCGTCGTTAGGCGTGTCACCGTAAGAGCCGGAGAGTTGGCACCGGGTGCGATCGTTTTTTAAATGTTTATTCCTAGGGTTTTTTATCGCACCCCGGTGCCATCTCTCCGACCCCGGTGCGTAAATGCAATTAAATCAGTTCGTTTCGAATTTTCAAGGCACCCCGGTGCGATCTCTCCGACCGGTGCGATCTCTCCGATGAAATGAATACACACAGGTGTTGCACCCCGGTGCGATCTCTCCGACCGACGCAATCCCCGATGAAATGCACACAGGTGTTGTTTGCACGCACCCCGGTGCCATCTCCCCGACCGTTGCCATAGTATTGATTGGTCTTGTGTTTGATGCGAAATTGGCTATGGCGTGACAACAACAAACGATGTCGTTCCCATCTGAGGTGGTACCAGTACACACGGTATCAATTGTAATTGTTTCCCGCTTTCGTTCCGGTCTTCTTCTACGGATACCAGTACGTACGCAGAAGTACACTAGCTTCGGGTTGTGTAAGGTGGGGTAGGGTTCGGCTTGTACGTTGTGTGTTTGGTTGAGTGTAGGTTGGCAACTTCCATACCAATAAAAATGTATGAAAACAACTGGCATCCCGCGTGAACCGCGACCATCCAATCGTACGTAAAGGAGTGGCGCTCCGCTGACTCCGTCCCCACGTGTAAAAGGTACGCTCATGTACCCCATTCCGGCAGCTGAAAAAGGAGTTCATTCTTGGATTTGGGGGTCGGAGAGATCGCACCGGGTGCGATCTCACCGACCCCGGTGCGTAAATCGAATTAAATTTTCTTTCTCGGGTTTTTTATCGCACCCCGGTGCCATCTCTCTGACCGGCGCCATCTCTCCGGCCGATGCCAACTCTCCGACTCTTACGGTAATCCTGTAATTGTTGTCCATAAACAAGTGGGGCAGGTGTTTTAGTTCTGCCGTGGTGTATACTTTTTAGTTACGTCTGGGTCTGGGGAGGACACAGTGGAAGAGAAGGATGATCACGACTCATGAGTATGTAACTACGGTTTCGTATACGTACACATGATTATTTTCATTGTTTCTGTCCATTTTCTAGGCAAGTAGATGTGTCCTCCCAAAAACACAACAAAAGATAAGTGTTGTTGTATTGTACCACAACAGAATAGAAACACCCACGTTATCCCATTGGTTTCTTTTTTCCACACAATTCGGTCTTGCACTGCATCACCGAACACTCGACGATATGCAGTACCTCGTACAATTACGGACGAGGGCGAAGACTAAGGGCGTTGTCCAAAAAAATACTCTCCCGTGGTGTCTTGTGAAAAATCAGGAACAGTTTCATTCTTTACCACGGAGAACTACAGTGCCACCAGCACCGACTCCAACCTGTCCTCCTGGCCAACACACACCGTGAACACCCTCTCTAGCACAAGCTGTTACCGTTTGTTTACGTACGGGACCGGAATTTCTACGGAGTATGATAAAAACTGCAGAGCGAATTTCGTGTCCGGACAGCCAGTAGAACAATCCACACATGGGATAGCTCACCAAGGTGTTACAGACCACCATGGAGCAAATATAAACCGATTACCTACAAAATGGCCAAGCCAAGCCGCATACAAAATCTCTGGACCGGATTTCCGACGCGCCTTTTTTAGTTAGAGCCTTACATATTGACACGGCATCTGTGTGAGGAAAACAAAAGGCCGTTACATTTTCAGAGATAGACTGATCTTAGTAATATAAGAGCATATTGGTTTTGTGGCAACATGATGAACAACAAAACAAGGGTAAAATGGCGCAATCTTTGGTGCTCTCGGCAAGGGCGAAGCAAATCACGTTCTCAAAATATCAGGCAATTATCGTAAAAACGGCATGGGATATCCTCACATTTCCTCAGCTAGCTATCTTGTGTTTTGTTCGTTCTTTTTTACGAGGCAACAATTTCTGGTGGAAAAGAAGGGATTTCCCTCGCAACTACCATTACGTACACAACAAATTTCAGCTTGATCTGTAAAACGTTGTTTGTACTCCTGATTTCAGTACCAGATTTGTCCCCCACTACAACGTCAATTGATCATTTTATAGTACCTCTTAAGAAAGTATACATACATGTGTAACCTCACAGAAAGACTACACGTTCGAGAAAATACCACAGTCGAAAGGGATGTGCTGTGCTGAAGTCTTTTCAGTGCGAGGGAAAACCGGCTAAATCACTTCGAAAATTCCGGCAGCTGCGCTTCCCCGATCGTCTTGAAAGGGTAGCCGCAAAATTTCAAGGAAGCTCGAATTTAGAAACGGCAGAGTGAGACAGACGTCAAGGAACAAAGTGGGCGTCTCCGTCAGACCAGCTTGCATGTCCTTCAGATCACCGTGGAGCATCACACCTACAGCAGTAGTGTAGCTCACCCACGTCCTCCAGATCACATAGCCCGATCACTCGTCGTGTCTTTCAGACCAACTCGGGCGAATATAGGCCGATCACCTACATATTTCTTTCAGATCAACTCGGGCAAACACAGCCCAATCACCTATATATTTCTTTCAGATCGACTCGGGCAAACATGGCCCACGTCGTCATTCGTGTCTTTCCGTCACCTCGGGCGAACATAGCCCCATCACTGATGTCTTTCGAATCAACTCGGGCGAATATAGCCCGATCACCTTATATATTTCTTTCGGATCAACTCGGGCGAACGTAGCCCTATCACTGATGTATTTCAGATCAACTCGGGCAAACATAGTCCAATCAATGATGCCTTTCGGATCAACTCGGGCGAACATAGCCCTATCACTGATGTCTTTCGGATTAACTCGGGCGAACATAGCCCAATCAATGATGTCTTTCGGATCAACTCGGGCGAACATAGCCCTATCACTGATGTCTTTCGGATTAACTCGGGCGAACATAGCCCAATCAATGATGTCTTTCGGATCGACTCGGGCGAACATAGTCACATCAACGATGCCTTTCGGATCAACTCGGGCAAACAGAACCCAATCACCGATGTCTTTCGGATCAACTCGGGCAAACATAGACCAATCACCGGTGTCTTTCGGATCAACTCGGGCAAACAAAGCCCAATCAATGGTGCCATTCGGATCAACTCGGGCATGCATAACCCAATCACCGATTTCTTTCAGATTAACTCGGGCGAACATAGCCCAATCAACGATTCTTTACAGATCAACTCGGGGCGAAAATAGCCCAATCAGCGATGCCTTTCGGATCAACTCGGGCAAACATAGCCCAATCTCTGATTTCTTTCAGATTAACTAGGGCAAAAAAAGTCCAATCACCGATTTCTTTCGGATCAACTCGGGCAACGTAGCCCAATCGCCGATTCTTTCAGATCAACTCGGGCAAACATATACCACGGTACTGCTTGTAGCCCAAATCGCCGATTATTTCAGATGAACTCGGGCAAACATACAGTACGGATCAATCTGTGTCCTTCAGATCATCATGGAGCGAACAACTGCTGTGCACAGATCACCTACACCCTTGAGAAACCATGGAGTAAACGATCACCTTGCAATAAATATGTACCTACGGTATGCTCTACCAAACATATCTACAGTCTTCTACAGTCTATCTGATCTGTCCTATTCGCGGAAACACTCCGCACCCCCCCCTCGCCCCCTGGTGTAAATCCCTCTCTTGCTTTTCTACACGTGTGTGGAGCCTCGATATTGTGGTGCGCCCAACTGACAGACTGGCTGCTGACCAACGGCGACCTTTTCGCCACCCCGGGAATAGCTGTGGAGTCTGCTGTAATTATGACAACATGTTGCCGATCGATGCCGGCTACGGGAGCTACGTAAGATACATGGTATGTAGCGGCATGATCTATAAATGGTAGCGCAAGCGGCATGATCTTTTGCAGGCGCTCTATTCGTCTGCATAGCACGGAGACATTCGCTGTTGGTTTGCTTCGCTTGCATGGCTGTATCGGAAACACGAGCTGATCCCGACGACCGGCTCTATTTTTACATCATGGTTCCTGGTATCGCAAGGGTTTGAAACGATAAGTTGGTGGCATACATGCCGTGGCATGCTCGGGAATGTACAAGCAGCGCGCACCTCTATCCGCTGCTGTAGTAGAGGCAAACAAACTGGTGGTGGAACGTGGCAGCAACAGCAGTGGATAGCCCCTTGAAAAAACACCGCCGTGAGCGGTCGCACTCGTGGAGCAGATGCGGGTGAAGCACCCAACAGCAGTTCCGACAACAAACTACAGCGATACTACTGTACGAGCAAGACAACAGGCCACCTCATCTGCCAGCTGCATATAATGGTCCTCTACCACTGCTGCTCCAGTTATTATGCACCCAGAGGTGCATTCGTTCACATCTAGCCGAGCTTTCCGGTACGGCCTTGGCTGTTGTTGCTCCCGCTCCCGCTGCGTTGCCGAGTGCTGCTGACTACTGGTACTCACGAGTACGTATGCATGTGCACTCGACGGACCTGGTTGTCACGGCGTTGGTGTGTGGGGCAAGGCATGAAAAAAACAACACCCACCTCTTGCAAGAATCGAACCGCACGCTCGACATCCGCGACGTGCATCAGCGCGGGGCTCGCGCTGACACGTGACGACGACATCATCATCCCGTCTCCGCTGCGCACGGCAACTCTCGTCTGGGTAGCAGCCCACCAGCTTATGTCCTCCCCCCTCCCGTCAAAGTGCTACCCCGTATATCATGTTGAGTTGCTCCGTCCCTGACTGTTGGTTCGTTATGCGGTGTAAACGTGTAAACCCGGGGACCCGGGGTTGAGTTTTTATGCGTACCACCCATCCCTAAGTGGGGGCAGCTGGCACTTCTGCCGCGTGTCTGGACACAGAGAGAGCGCGGGGCTTGGTCTGGCGGCGGTGCGGGCTCCTATGCTTTCGTGTTCCAGGGCAGTCTCGAAAGTGAGTCGTGGTGTCGTGGGGGCACGAGCGTTCCTTGGCAAGAGGGCATCAGGTGATCTCTCCACCTTGGGCCGGATATGATGGCATGACAGGAACTCTTTTTTTGTGTCCCTTTGCGTCCAGGGTTGCACCCCACAGTCCCGCCACTGTATCCACCGCGTGCGGTGCGCGGCTGCTGCTTGTGCTGCGGTGCTTGGACGTTTGACGTGACCCGTTGGCCGTCTTCCGTGCAGCCACACCTGTCCTGGGCATGGTTTACTCTTGAAGGGCAGTAGCCTTCGGTCGTTCGAAGTCAATTATTGCACCATCTCCACGATAACACCTGTCAACCAACTTGTTGCTGTTATACCAACCACATGTTATATCCCCGATAGCTCTCTTTGCTGGCGGCGGATCGTAACGTCGATACGGGCAACGTGGCACACACCTGCAGCAGCCAGCTTCTGAATTACGTAGAATCTCAGATCTTCTCACAGTTTTCTGTGCATTGGCACCCTTGTCTGATCTACATGCCATCGAGTTCTACGGCTATCCACACACTGCCGGTTGTTCTTTCTACACTACTGCTGCGTTGGGTGCGCGTTTGGTCGTACTCAACCGAACCTCGCTTCCTCCGTAGTATAGTGTGAACGTGAGAAACCACGGCAGGGCACCATCGCTGGGTTCTCTCGACTCCGGCCTCCGTTTGTCTCTTTGCTTGTACTATTGCGCTGTCCAGAGGGGCTGCTTCCCACCAACCATGTGTCAAAGTTGACCCGGCAGTTTGTAGCGCGCGGCTCCCTGTGTCCCACCACATCTCGCGGTGTCCAGGAAACAACGCACGTCGACGTAAAGGCGGTCGTGCGGCATGAAGAGCGGCAGTCGCAAGCCCCTTGCTCTTCCGTCTCACTCTCGTCGATCGAATCTCGGCCTCTCTTGGGGATTTATCGAAGAGGCACAAAGGCACCTGGCAAGCTGGAACACTGCGTCTTGTCATATGGAGAGTGGCTTTTGAGCTCTTCGGTCGCTCGGCGCTGCTGCTGCTGTGTAGTGCGTGAAATGGCGTGGATACGGCAAAAGAGCGCGCGAAATCCGTCGCAATTCGCTTCCCACGCCCCCCAAGCCCTGGATAGCTAGACTCCCCCCTACCCAATGGTACGCAAACCGCCCCCTGTGAAGGCCGATTTCCGGCCCACCAAATCCCCCATGCCCTGATAATTTCCGCTTGTTGTGCAGCAGGCTCAAGTCGATGGACGATGACACGGAGAGCGGGGCCGGAGGGGAAGGAGCAGACCGTAAGCAGCAGCAGCAACAGCAGCAGGAAGAAGATAAAGGTGACCCCGTGGGGACGGTGGTGGTAGGGTTCTCCTTCATGGCCAAGAAGATGGAGACCATGGCTGAGGTGGGCCTTTCACACGCGGAGGTAATACATACATGGGGCGTTATTGTTGCTGTGGCCGGGGTCTCCTTTTAACCACGTTCATCACTCTTTTATCTGGATACATGGGCCTGTCCCCTTCCCGAAGGACTAAGATAATAGGACTCAGGAGAGTGAGTGCAAAAAAGAAAAGTCGGCGAGGGAGAAAGTGACCAAGCAAGCGGAATGGGCTTTAGCTGGTCCAGACGGGATCAGCCACCATTCATTCCGGGCATGAATATCGGGTCAGTCATTTGTGGACGCCTGCCATGGTCGAGTCAAGTGTGTGTGTGTGTGATGCCTTCGGTTGCTTGGCCAACAGGTGATGATGGTGGGGCCGATGGATGGCTTGGAGTTTCACCCTTTGAATTTCTCGGAGCGGCCAGAAGAGCACCGGCGTCTGGACGTGATACTGCACAAGCTCTCGGAGGACATCATGTTCAGGTGGGGGGGGGGGGGGGGGGGGGGGGGG